CCCCCCCCCCCCCCCCCCGCCACTCCACCCGATTCTCCGCCTGGGCTAGAAACTTACCACTCGAGGATAAAGTACTTTCCGGGAGCGTTTCTTGAGCCTGCTGCTCTTGGAGAAGTTCCTGTGGGCAGGAAGCTTCTCGTCCTCCGGGAGAGGATCAAAAGTGAAGTATTGGGGCTCGGTAGGTGCGCCCCGGCGGGAGATCTGGGGCATGCTGAGCGGTGGCAGTGTCGGCTTGCAGGCGTAGCACATGGTCCTCCGGCCAATCGAGAGGAGAACGCACAGCAGCTGGAGCGCTCAGAATGAGGAGTCGCTCGGGCGGGCCGGAATTTATGAATGGGGAGGCCCCGCCTTCCTCGCCACCCCATTGGCTGAGCAGTTTAGCTTGTCAGGGGACAGCTCAGATGGGAAACTCCGAATTTATTCAGTTCAATGCATTCAGGCTTGGCAGGTTTGGGAATGTCACGCACAGGCCACGCCGCGGGGGAGGGGGAAGAGGGGCAAAGGAGACGGGGGTCACTGTGGCCAGGGAAAGCGGAGGAGGGGGGTTGTTTGCAAAGCACGCATCGCCGCGCGCGGTCCACCCATCCCGGCCGCTCAAAATACATGGAGAACGCAGCCACGTTCCCCAAGCCAAGGATTTCCTTGCGATCTGGACCACCCTTGCTGGTGCAAAGACTTGAACACGCAGGGAGGTGGATCGGCAATCTTCGGACCCCCACGCCCCCCAAGTTTAAACCTTTGTGGAGTCGTGCCCAGCCTCATCCAATGCATCCAGACTGGCTGCTCCCCGTGAAGGGGCCCAGACCCGTTATTGCTCTCAGCTGCAGTAGATGAACAGGGTTACTTCATTTTGCTGCATTCTGAAGGTGGAAGGGGGAGAAATGAATCCAGGGGCCTTTCTCTGCAAATCTTATTGCCATCAGTGACAGTGACATCTCAGGATGACAGTCTATCCATCTTTCACTCTTTGCATAATCTCTCTCTCCTTTCTTGAGGGCTGAATCTTCACAGGACTGGCTCAAGACATTGTGCTGTGGGAGGCGGTCTTGCATCAGCCCTGCTAAGACTCAGCCATCAAGAAAGGAGAGAGGGAATTATGGAAGCGGTGGTAGATTGGAGGACGTCCTGAGTTGTCATTGTCACGGATGATGTCCCGTTCTCCTTTGCCTGAGTGGAACCTGGAAGTTTATATATCTATTTTGGCTGGACGAAGAACATTTGCTAATTATCGGGCACTCTGGCAGTTGATGTCCTTGTTCCTGTTCTGAAAAATATCATTCAGAGATCCTCTCACACTCTCACTGCCATTGCACTATATTTCTAAATGAGTTTTAGCTAATAGATGGGAAGGACATATTTTACTGTTTTCTTTTTAATATATTATTACTGTGGAGCAGAACAATCTCCTGCGTTTCCCCACATCTCCCCCCCCCCCCCCCTTCCCCCGCCCCCCCCCCCCCCTT